AACTAAAGTCTTTTTGCTTTTCACTTGAAGACTTCTTGCCATGCCAAGTAAAAGGACAGTTTGTGGTTTTGGAATGTGTTTTAAAGTTGGTACCACTGGTAGATCTGTCACAGAGGCAGGCTCTAATTACTCAGTGTCTGTTTCTTGTCTGCAGTGGTAATCAGATCTGGGATTTCTGTCCGTCTGTATTTACTTTCAAAACTCAGGAGCCAGATTCACCACCACTTGTTTATTTACATACAAATAAAACCAAATTTGATTTTAATTCTCCATGCACAGGACAACTCTAAAAAGGAACAAGGGAATGCAAAAAAGAGAGCAGGTGTTTGTCTCAAAACTCAACTTTGAAAAAAATCCTCTACAATTCAGGATTATCAGGGAGGTTCAGGTAGGAAAATGTTTGTGTTGCTTCAGATTTCTGAAATCTTCCTTTTTAAAAACAACAGGAGGTGTTTAAGAAATTTACTGGCAGTGATTCTCAAAAAGTGTAAAGCTTAATTCATCCATGCACCATTCTACACAAACTGCCTCTGACCATGCGAAGGTCCCAGGGGTTATTTCAGAAACAATCTGCGTGCAAATATTATTATTGAAAGCAACCACCAACTTCATGCTGAAACCATTATGTACCCAAAATTAAAGGCCAAGTTGAAGTCCCTTTAAAATTTGAATAATAGTCAGAGTGAATTAGCCGTTGGGTTTTAAGTTATATCAATATAACTGCTTTTTTACCCATAGTTTATAGACCAAACATGACTGATCTGTCTTTCAAAATATCAAACATTTCAGGCAATTTCAAAGTGTAATTATTTCATAAATTCCCCAACACAGAGAGATGCATGGTCTAAAATGAAAGAGGTGTACAGACACTATTCTGTGGAAGAAATGTAGTTAAACAGCCTCTCTTTTCAGAAAATTACAAACCAATATCTAGAACATACCATGGGCAGTGATGATCCATTTTTAGCACACATCTGCAAAAGGACAGAAAAGAAAAATTGAAGATTTTTATTTGGTACTTAATTGCCAACTGCAGATCAATAGCAAAAGCTCTGGTTTTTTTGTGAGATTTCTACATGACACAAACTCAAGATGATACCGTCTCTTTGAATTTTTTAAGGCAGGTATAATTTTAAGATGGAATATTTATTACTTTTTCAAGATCAAGCAATGTCCTTGGTACTCTGCAAGATAAAAAGAAATTATTTCTGCATAGAGGGCTTAAAACTTTTCCAAAACACCATAGCTAAAGGTCTGGAATATTTTAAATAAATAAGTAAAGTCAAAATCATACTTTATTTTAACCTGCCTAGGTTAATCAGTTAATTTGCGCTAGACGGCCTGTTTTCTAGCGACTTAACACTAATACGCTTGGGGATGTGGGAACTGCAAACACTTCAGGGCCACAAACAGCAGAAGTGCAAATGCTAATGCTGTCACACCTGTACGTACACCGCTGACTGCAGCTGGAACAGAGGTACTCCGGTACCTTTACGTGTAAAAAGACACGCGAAGGACTAGCCCATTGACATAACTTAGTGGTGACTGTATCCACTTCAGTGAAAAATGAATCCAGCGACTTACATAGCACAAACAGAACAATGGTGACAACGATCTGGTTTTATTAGCTGGCATCTATCGCAGAATCGAACACCTGAAATTAAAGACAAATTAATATCAAGTAAGAGTGTTCTTTTTTTGCATTAGTTAATATTCTGCTCATTTCCTAGCTGTTCGTATTCTTTCCTCTATCATTTCACAAGAGGAGTGCATTTGGAGCTGATTTTTGCTGCCAGGTCACAATCAGATAAGCAATGCTCATAATTCTTCTGGAGACTTGCAGATGCAGGGAACAATCCTCACTGCAAAGCACATATCCAGCTCAAAAGCGATAAACCAAAATTGTACGCTTCCCTCTGGCTTCCACATTTCCTCAGACTTGACATACATTCCATTTTGGTAATTGCCTCCATAGCAGTTCTTTACTTCATGATTCTTTGGCTTGTCTGACAGAAATGAGCAGGTCAGAGCCTCCGACATGAACACAGATTTCTTTTAAGCTTTGAAAGGAGTGCAGTATGCATTTAATCACAGAACAAGGTCCAGAGATCTGTCCACAAAATTATGTCCTGCATCTCTAAGCTAGACTCCATTTTAAGTAAACACGACTACAGATTTTGTTATTCTATTACTATTACTAAATGCAGACCGCATAAATAGGCTTTTGAACAGTAAATTCAAAGGCTAACATACTGCTTCTCAAAGGCAGCACCTGGTACTCCATCGAAGATGAACAGAACTGTTCAAATATAAAATCTGAGAGAAAAGGCATTGACATTATTCGCACAAGAGTTACTCGGTGCACGCAGTGGCATTAGGAACGCCCCGTTGGTCGGCAGTGTCATCTGGATTGCCAGCACGTGCTACTTTAGCGTGCTTGATTAGATTTAGAGAAAGCAAGCTCTCTGCTTCGCTGACCTCCGTTCCCCGTTCTTGTGTACACCGGCAACTTCCTTGCAATTTCGGCCAGAATTTGCCTCTGCACCTCCGGCCTTTCTTCATTTTCATAGCGCTCTTTGTCAGCATAGGACATATGGTACTAGAAGCAGAAGTCATGAGAGGAGCAGTTACCCATGGGTAGCAGAGATAATATTTCAAATACAGGCAAGTTTGGAAACGTTTTTACCTCCCGCTCCTTCTAATGAGATTAGGCTAATGTGAAAATGTGTTTGTTAAGGAAACAAAGAGAGATAGTAAGCGCTGGACAGCCAGAATACTGTGAGATACACTAATAAGAAATGCAAAAGTGAAATTCAGATCACAAAACAACACACTAGAATTGCTACTACTACTGCTGCCTTAGATTACTATTTTTCATCAATAACATTAATAACCACGGTAAGGACACTTTAAGCACTTCCCTTGTGAGCAAGAACCTGTCCCCAGCTGTAGTTTCATACTTCTAAAACTGGGATTAGTTGTTATTTATAAATTTACATTCTTGTCATTAGGATCAGATTATAGTCATGTATATTGAGTGCCACACAAACATCATTCTGTTGCTCCAAACAGTGTTTTAGTAGTATTTCATAAAGAGGTAAAACAAACCACAAAAGAAATCCACCAGAGCAAGATGAAAAAGTAAGTATTTGGTAGAGAAAGGATTGAAACAAATGTCTGCCTTTGACCGTCCTGTGCTGAAACCACTAAATCATACTCTTGTCCTAAAATAAGCCACCTACGTTAAAAAAAATCAATACCAAATCCTTAAAGAAAGTATTCTTCATGAAACAATTTACTTTTGTTACAGTGAACCCCAGTTCCTCTTTACTATAGGACATTGTTACATTTATCTTTCATGCTGCTGCTGACCAGGGAAGTACAAGGACTGGAGCTAAATGTATACCTAGCACCAAATTAAAAGCCGTATGCTATGCACACTGCCACAGACATGCGACATCAGCATCTCAGCCTGTTTAAAAGGAACTGGAGAGGCCTCCTCCAGCCAGCAAAGGGCTCCCAGCAGAGCAGGCAATGCCACACTTTGGTGGGACGCTGAACGTTCACATACGCACCGCAACAATCCGGCTCAGGAGATCAAGACACCCCACTGCTATTACAGATGTGCCTGTTTCCACCTGCACTGTAACATCTTCCATGAAAAGAGAAAACCAAACCCAAGGTCCTTACTCAGGAGACTCCAGTAAGGCTCGGTTAAGGAAGGTCCTCAGGATTTGGCTCACAACTTACCAAATGCTTAGAGATCAATGACACTGTAAATACGTAAGTTAATAATCATCAATCCTATTATTCTCAACACAAAAAATCCTATCGGCTCCTGGAACACCTGAAAAGGCAGCTTTAAAAATTAACCCCATCTCTGATTTAAATTATGCTCTTTGGGAAGTCAAAGGATTCTCAGAATAGTAAACTACTCTGTTTTTACGGACAACTCTAGCTCACTTTCCATCTCTTTAGGAAACCCGATCGGTTGTCCAGATCAATTAGATTGAAGGATTTTTGAGTTCTCTTACCTTTTTGCCTGGCTGCACTGGGAGAGTAAAAATAGACTTCCAATATGTCCACACAAAGAGCACAAAGAGAATATGGAATATTGTAAGATAGGCCACTAAAAAAAAACAAAAAACAAAAAAACAAAAGCAGAACAATGACCTCTTAAGCAAAAGTTTCATTCATGATAGGCATAATCCCAATCTTTCACAACAATGACAAAAAAAATAAAGGAAAAAAGAAAGATTTACAGTATCAACCAGTATTAGAATACAGCTAAACTTTATGGTCAAAGGGTGAGTCGAATTCCAGAGATCTGTGGCTGCAGTTAGGGGTTACCTATCTCACAAGCCTCCCCTTCTCCACCTGATCCAATTCCACGGGTAAGGAATATCTTCCCCGTATCCTAGGCACAGGCAAAGCAGAACTGGCTGGTGCGGAGCAGCACAAAGGTTAATACTGCAATACTCCAGCATCTCCAAATTTGGGGTTCAGTTGCTACTAAATGCGCTTTGAATCACAGTACTGTATTATCAGTGTACTGTCCGCTCATGCAACGCATTCTTCGCCACTTATGGAGTCAAGAGAAATAACATGCTCTAGCAGAACTTTACATCACCAGAAAAAAAATCAAATCTCTTATTAAACATCTTTCAGATCTGCAACAGTTGATAAAATAAATCAGGAAAACATCCCTCAAATTGAGCAAAACAGGTCTTGTGATTACAGAAAAGGAATTGTAATCCACTAGAAAAAACATCATCATATGAAATCCAGCATGCATCAGAGTAATCTTGTTTCAGTATGCAAACTTTATTTCAAAGCCTTTGGACATAAGCAGGCATGCTGTGGTTCAGAAAGCCAAAGGCCAGCTATTCTTCAGCTACACAAACGATTTGTTTGTTATTTCTTTAATATTTGACTCACTAAGATATTATCAATCAGTTACAGGACAGTTTTATTTAAACACACCATTTCATCATAACAACAACAACCTCCTTTTCCTTGTTTCATTTAAGCTTTAAATTCTAGCAAACTAAGATTAAATTAACTACTACTACTAGTGGAAAGAGAAGTCTAAAATGCAAACACTTCCTAACTTCTCAGGCAAGAGTGACGGTGTGAAAATGTAACTGGTTAAAAAACTTTGAGACTTTCTAATGAGATGGCAAATGATCTGATAGGCCTCACAAGAATGTGATGGATTGTGTGACTGAACTATGAATCAATGATATTCATTATTATGCTCTTCAGTTTGTTTGTTTGAGATGTTATCCTTATACAACATGCAGGTGGAGCTCAGTCATTTTTAAATTAATATGTAAGGAGATAAATCATGCAATAGGTTTAATTTTGTTGATAAAGCAATACAGCAGCATGTTAGAGGAAGGTGACCTGGAGATGCATTAATAGATTAGGCAACTAATAACTTTCTTCTGCTGAATAATCATTAACATCATGCTTTCTGTAGTTTCTCTGTAACAGTTTGAAATATTAGGACAGCTCTCTAGTGGAAAGAGAATTTACTTGATGCAGTAATCCAGAGGATCTTTGAAGCATCAGCTGGCATTGTTCTTCACGGAACGATTTGCCAGCCGAAACCCGCTACACCTACTTCTATCCTTCATAACCCTGGCAGAAGAAATGAAGGGAAGAGGCCATCTGGATTAGCCAAATGCCTCCAAAGCACCTCCAGGAAAGAGGAATATTAAAATGGCCACCAACCCCTTATTCTTAGAACATGACTGTGGCCTCCGCCAGTGGAAACAGTCTCATCCAGTGATCCTGCTGCTCTGCCCAACTCATTCAGCCACCTCCCGATGCCGCATCTGGGACCTCAGCACAACATCTGTCAGCGGCACTACCAAATCGATCTGAGAAGCGTTCTAGCCCAAAACCAACGAGACAGATGCTCTAACTCATCTGTAGTAGTAACTGAAAGTTACTGCGTTACCACTCAATATATGGCTAGTGGTCAACAGAGCCAAGAGAAAAGTCTTTTGCAAAAGCCTCCCTACAAAAAAAACATTAAAAATAGCTTTCACTGAAAGATCAAATAAAACTGGGGAAAAAATAGGCAGGCCATGGAACAGAACTAGTCTCTTCCATTTAGCTTGTAAAATCAGCGCTGAAAACATAAAATAAAAAGGAAGAAAAGGTGTGTGGGTGTATACAGATAGACATACACAGTTTTTTCTGAAAGAGTCAAAGGGATCAAAGGCTTTTCATGTTCTTCTGCTTCCACTGTGACTAAAAAGTGGCATTTCCCAACGCATCCAAAAGTTATAGCACGTCTAACTGCATACTGTATACTCCATGAATGTGGAATTACAGGAAGGAAACACTGAAAGAGTAGGTCAGTTTAAAAAAAAATTGATGGAAAGTATTTTTGATATTTCAACTAAAACATTTGTGAATCTGTTTACACAAAGACTGAATGCCAAATAGTAAACTGAATGCACATACCTTTTTCCACAGGATTGCTCAGAGTCACTGAAAAAGAAAAAAACCATATGTCTACTGAGCAAATAGCATTCCCAGAAAGGTTTGTGACAAATAACATTTCTGTTTGGAATACAGCCATTTTAGGAAAAAAAGTTAAAATTCAACAGACAAAAAGAGAGCCCACAGTTTAGCATCCAAATCAAAAGCATCTGTAACAATTCCTTGTTTACTCACGCAAATGACACCCACAACAACATGTTCAGTAACTGTTACTTATGCTGTATTTTCCCTTGTTATAAAATATATTTGTACATTAGAAATATGACAAAAATAACCCACTGGTGACAGCGAGGTGACAAGATTACCAGGGCTCCTCTAGCAACTGTCCAAGCAGTATTTCTCTGCATGTACTTGTAGCCTGCTTTGTACTAGTCTCTAGGTGGTCTTGATCCTCCACAGTACGTCATGCCCAATGCATTTCTGCATCACCATAAATAAAAAATTACAAATTGTCTTGGCTTTGGCAGTCAGCAACAAAGGATACACTGTAATGACTCTATGTTTACACTTCATACTAGCAGTGTTTTTACAACCCCTCCTTACTTTACCATAATCATAGGAACAGTCCCTACTAACAGAACCACTGAGAGAAACCCGCAAAGGGTACATTGCTCAATGACTACTTACACTGATTATTTAAAAATCCATCCATTATTTTAAAAGCCCTCAGCCTTGCAGTCCCTAAAAGGGCCTACAGGAAAGCTGGAGAGGGACTGTTTACAAGGGCAAGTAGTGACAGGACGAGGGGGAATGGCCTTAAACTGAAAGAGGGGAGATTTAGATGAGACATGAGGAAGAAATTCTTCCCTGTGAGGGTGCTGAGGCCCTGGCACAGGTTGCCCAGAGAAGCTGTGGCTGCCCCATCCCTGAAGTGTTCAAGGCCAGGTTGGATGGGGCTTTGGGCAACCTGGGCTAGTGGAGGGCATCCTGCTTTTGCTTTTCTTAAAACCATGCTAACAAACAATTTTGATCTGCAAGCTCTATGATACACAACAACGTAGATGAAAAAAGAGACCAAATATTTGCTTGTGCCTCTGCACGCTCAATTTCAGTTGAACAAGACTGTTAGGAAACCTTTCGTTCTTCCTTTGGTTTGCTGTAAATCAAACTATGAAGAGTACATCAGCTTTTCACAGATACTGCTTGGTTCCCTCCTGAATTTCACGTTGCACTTGCAGCATAGCCGTTCTAAGGATTCTTCTTGAGAAAAGAGCAAACTTCTACATAAAGATCATACAAAAGGTTTTATTGCAGGACACTGGGACATTGTTCTCGCTGTGGCAGCAACCACCACCAGACATGAAATCAAGGCCCCCTCTGGAGTATGACTTGTTGGCCATACCAGGCATTGAAAGTTTAAAACCAAGTATCATGAGATATCTCTAGGACATCACCTCCACCCTACGCCGCCCTCAGCAGTCTGCAGAACTAAGGATGAAAATCAAGAATCCAAACAGAGCATCTACTATTTACATGCTTGCAACAGCTGAAAAGGCAATACACAATGGAAACCTGAGGGGGGAAAAAAAAAAAAAAAAAAAAAGCAGCCAACAGATAAAGCCTTGCTATGGTAGAAATCCAGAAGAGAGATAACATCCTGAGAGCTAGTTTTCAAGTAACTGCATATGCCAACAGTTAATGTTCAAATCTTAAAATAATTAATTCAGTCGTTTTAACTTCGGTATAGATAACCTCCTCCACACACAAATAAAATGCATGACAGAGAAAGATGGGGCAAAAAAAATAGACGGGTATGGGCAAAGGAGTGATTTTAAGCTGTGATTCTAGGCAGTGAGATGAGCTCCTGCCATCTTAACCAGCATTTGCAGAATAGCACAGGCCCGATCCAAACCCCACTTAAATCGGCAGAGTCTCTTCTAATAGCTGCACTGAGACTTGGAATTTACCAGTTAAATATTACTGAATTTGCACAGCACTGCAAACAAAGCATATTTCAAAAGACTGACAGCATTTCAGGAAAATACTCTAAATTTTTTGTCACATGGTCTAATTGACAGTTACCGGCACCTTGGAGATATCATTCCATGTGAATTCCTGAAAGAAACAGCCTGCAATCTCAGAGATGGAATAAAATGTCACGAAGTATTTGGGGGTTTTGCCTAGCTACCAATTAAAACAGATCAAGGAAGCTGCATTTCATTTAAGTCCCCATCGAGAAAAAAAAAAAAAAAAAAAGGTCTCACTGCATCGGCAACGCTAACAAAACTCTGATTTAAATTTGCTGTACGGTACCAGAGGGCAGCTCTTTTCACAGAAACGTCTCAAACTACCGTTCTGAGAACTTTGACTTCCTTTATCTGGCTTACCCTGTCGTGAATGGAAAGAGCCACATGCTCCTCCTTACATTTTCAAAAGTCCAAGCCACCAGCTTTTCTCTCCATCTTCACCAGACCTAGCAACCCTTTCTTCCAGTAACAGTTTTTGCACACAGAGCGCAATAAACACAAGAAAGTTTGCAACTTACCATATAGTTAAATTGTTACATTAAACTAAACAATCACTAGCACCTACCGAAAATTTCCTTTCTAAAATGTAGCATTTTCTGTGCTACTGTAGCAAGTGGACTCCTGAGTGTGATTTAATGTAACTTTT